CCTGAAAGGGTCGTTTTGGTGGAGAGGCATAAAGAAGGACGTCGCTGAGTTCGTCAAGAGGTGTCTTACCTGTCAGCAAGTCAAGGCCGAGCATCAGAGTCCGATTGGCCTCCTACAGCCACTGCCGATTCCGAGGTGGAAGTGGGAGGAAATCACTATGGATTTCGTTACGGGATTGCCGAGGTCGTCTGAACATCACGACGCTATCTGGGTCGTGGTCGACAGATTGACGAAGGTGGCTCATTTCTTACCCGTTTCGATGAAGATGTCTCTGGACAAGTTGGCTGAGATATATACCCGTGGGATCATCCGGCTCCACGGAGTGCCCGTCACGATTGTATCAGACAGAGATCCCAGATTCGTCAGTCGATTCTGGCACAGCTTACATGAGGCGATGGGCACGAAGCTTGAGTTCAGTTCAGCCTACCGTCCGGAGACGGACGGTCAGTCAGAGCGGACGATTCAGACACTTGAGGATATGCTTCGCGCCTTGGTTGTTGACAGGGGTGCCAAGTGGGAGTCACTGTTGCCGTACGCCGAGTTCGCGTATAACAACAGCTATCATTCTTCTATTCAGATGGCTCCTTACGAGGCACTTTACGGTCGCAAGTGTCGTTCCCCTCTCTATTGGGACGACGTCGGAGAGCGGCGAGTACTCGGTCCTAAGATGATCGAGGAGACAGCAGAGCAGGTCGAGTTGATCTGGCAGAGACTCAGGACAGCTCAGAGTCGACAGAAATCTTCCACCGATCATCATCGACAAGACATCCAGTTCGAGGTTGGCGAGCCAGCCTTTCTCAGGGTTCGTCCGATTCGCGGAGTTGTACGATTCGGCAAGAGAGGGAAGCTGCACCCTCGTTTTATCGGTCCGTTCGAGGTTCTCGAGCGAGTAGGCGAGGTCGCGTATCGTCTAGCCCTACCTCCCGAGTTATCAGGCATTCATAATGTATTTCACGCATCTATGTTGCGTAAGTACGTGTGCGACCCCGATCACGTCATCCCTCATACAGATATTCAGGTTCAGCCATATCTATCGTACGAGGAGCGACCGATAGCTGTACTAGACCGTCAGGTTCGTCGGCTCCGGAAGCGAGATATCCCCCTCGTGCGCATTCAGTGGGATCGCCACGGAGCTACTTGGGAGGAAGAGTCCGACATTCGCGCTCGTTTCCCAGATTTCCAGTTTTGATGTACATATCCCTTATCCTATGTACATAGTTCATGTATATCAGCTATGTTTTGAATTTCCGAGGACGGAAATTTTGTAAGGAGGGAGGATTTTAATATCCCGATAGTTTATCGGTATAAATTATGTTTTAATTCCGATATAATAATGTTATCGTTTATTATTTTCGGAATTAATTAAGTTCAGTCGGAATTACCGAAATTTATTTTCGACGTACCGTTTACGTTCGAAATAATTTTGGTAATTAAGTATCATGTGTAAAAGTTAATAAAACATAATTAAGTGATTAATTAAACATTAATCACCTAATTAATGTTAAAAAGCCGTAGCCTTTTTAATTGTTTCCTCAAATGCCGTGAGATATATACTCAATTTGCCTCAATTTTATGTTAAGGCCGTATATGTATGTTTAAGTTCAAGGTGCTCCTTTTAATTCCTAAGTCCTGAGGAAGCTCTTTTCCTCCTCATTTTTCAAAAGCCACGTGGCCAATTAAGAAGTAGC